AGATTAAACCTGTGTTGTTGATTTTGGAAAACACTACTGAGGCTGCCTTGCTTTCCTTCAGAAAATCTACATTTTAACCAACTTACATGACATTCTATGTTATGTTGACTTTATCATATGAAAGTTTATAGTGCATTTCATCAATTAATAAATAAATGTGAAAATCGTAATTTCCAACACAAATAATAGTCTCGCTACCTTAAATCATTGTATTCCTAAAGATGCAATCAAGTTATTAATTATTATTACTAATTAGACAACTTCTGAGTGGTACAAGATTCTGTCCATTATAGAGTATTATGGAGTAGGGTGCCCTATATAATGAGGATAAACAACTTACATGGGTTAATTGTCATGCTATAATACCATAATAAAGTAATTAACATTGTATATTCAGGTTTTTTTCTAGGAAAAAACTGCTAGAGAGAGCACTGCAATTTAGTGGTACCACCAAGTGGGGGAGATAGGGTTCTCCCTACCAGGGTGTGGAGTTTTTGATAATTCTAAGTTAAATGGAGCATTCTATGGCTTCCTTCGGGCCAAAATTACTATCAGACAGGTCAAAGTTGAAGACTGTGGCCACATGTGATCCCTGGTCAATCAGAATTTTATGGTTGCCAGTGGATCTGCTCCCCAGGGTAAGGGCGCGCATGTCCATGGCATGAGGGCGCTGCGCCCCTGTTCCCTTGTTTAAAAAAATCCCTGTATATTGTTATGCAAATTAATCATGGCACTTAGTGTTTAGTGGTTTAAGGATCATATGCACAAGTGAGAACATATATGGTGGATTTGGTGATGTACTCCGACAAAAATATCGCATGCCACTAAAACCTACAATGATGTATTGGATAAACAAAATGGGGGATTTGATGAAGTACTGACAAAAATATCACATGGCACTAAAACCTACAATGAACTATGGAATGAACAAAATGGTAGATTTGATGAAGTACTGACAAAAATATCACATGGCACTAAAACCTACAATGAACTATGGGATGAACAAAATGGTGGATTTGATGAAGTACTGACAAAAATATCACATGGCACTAAAACCTACAATGAACTATGGGATGAACAAAATGGTAGATTTGATGAAATACTGACAAAAATATCACATGGCACTAAAACCTACAATGAACTATGGGATGAACAAAATGGTAGATTTGATGAAGTACTGACAAAAATATCACATGGCACTAAAACCTACAATGAACTATGGGATGAACAAAATGGTAGATTTGATGAAGTACTGACAAAAATATCACATGGCACTAAAACCTACAATGAACTATGAGATGAACAAAATGGTAGATTTGATGAAGTACTGACAAAAATATCACATGGCACTAAAACCTACAATGAACTATGAGATGAACAAAATGGTAGATTTGATGAAGTACTGACAAAAATATCACATGGCACTAAAACCTACAATGAACTATGAGATGAACAAAATAGTAGATTTGATGAAGTACTGACAAAAATATCACATGCCACTAAAACCTACAATGAACTATGAGATGAACAAAATGGTAGATTTGATGAAGTACTGACAAAAATATCACATGGCACTAAAACCTACAATGAACTATGGGATGAACAAAATGGTGGATTTGATGTCAACAAGTTTTAACCATTTGAGTTCTATACTTTTTCTCTGCCAAATTATGATGCAACATTCTGCCATTTGTTATGTACTTTTCTATATTTGTTTTGATAATATTGGACCAATTAGACAACATTTTTTTGAGGGCTGCAGATCTTGATCAAAAATTATGAAAATGTATTTAGATTTAAAATTTGTGAATGATGATAAAAGGGTTAAATGATACATTTTCATTATTTTCAGATACTCCAGGTTTGGGATTGTTACTGAGTTTTGCTGTTGGTGGCCTTCTTGGCGATGTGTTTTTACATTTATTACCAGAAGCATGGTCCCATAATGATGATAGTGAGTATACACCCTCTACTGAATGGAACATATTATGGAAGTCAATAGTCAGTAGCAAATTAATTGATTAATATGCACAGATAAAAAACTGCATATACTTCAGGAATGTGAAACAAGTTGACAATGGTAGTGAAAAAGTTGATGATATGCAAATAACCTAATCAGTATGCATGCAGAACCTCTCTTTTTTGTGGAAGCTGAAAAAAGTTGGTATGCAAATTATCTAATTAATATGCACAGGCACAAACTACTTCAGGAGGGTGACAACAGTTGACAATGGTGGTGAAATGGCTAATGATATGTAAATTACCTAATTAATATGCACAGATAGAGGTAGAAATTGACAAAAGTTAACAATGATGATGAAACATTGGGACATTGATTTCTTTACAGGTATAAATGACCTAACTTACCATAGGTATATTGGATTCTGGGTACTATCTGGCATCATCACTTTTCTCATTCTTGAGCAAACATTTTCTGACAATAAATGTGACAATACTGAGGAAATTGAATCACAACAGGTGAGTTTTCAATTCATGGTGATTGGTTGAAAGTGGCTATGTTTCATTCAAGATATTAATGGCCACTCATTGTAAAATTTATGTATTCTACAAAAGTCACTGTGATTTCCTGACTTTAATATGCTGCCAGTGAAATATCCACTGATCAAATTTCATTAGTATCTCTGATTCACGGAATTGAGAAAAATAAATTTAAAACTAAATTGGATGCAGAATTTTAGATACATGTATTAAACGTTTTATTAAACAAAAAAAATTGCTTTTCTTTCAGGATTATTCACAAAAAACTCAGAACACCAGAAATACAGAGTCATCCAACCATGTGAGGCAGCGGCAAGTAGATGAAAAACCTACAAATAAGAAAAATATTAAAAGTAAAAATGGTTGTCAGCGAAATGGATTCATTAATCCATGTGACGATCACAGCACAAAGACAACTAGTGAAGTTGTTCAGAAACAAGTGAAAAAAGAAAAAATAAAGGTATGAATTAAGTTTATTTGATGCTACATCCGATTACAGTAGTGGAGAAATGTTCACTGTGTTTAATATCAGCGTATTTGGTGATCAAGTGCACAGACATCTTTGGTTTAAAAGAAACAACACAGTTCATTGTTAACTTTGAATATTTACTGGGTTTTAAATTGGCACAATTACAAAATTTAGCAATCAGTCAAAAATAAAAAAATAAAAAAACAGTGAAAAAGCCTTTTACTGTACTTAGTTCTATACGACACAACTAAAAATTGTGTCCATGTGTGCATCAATTCATCTGTCCATCCAGACCTGTATCTTGAACATACCTTGGCCAATCACATTCAAACTTCACACATATTATATCATATCTTGGGATACATTATGCACACCCATTCATAATCTAATTCAAGATGGCCGAATGGCGATCATTTTAATGTTAAAAAAACCCATTGAAGTCAATCCAGTACCAAATCTTGTGTATAGATGGATTTCAATAAAACTCGGTACATACATTATAGGTCCTTGATGCATGCTGTTTTGTTTTTCAGATCAGATTAAAAAATGGCTGACTGGCCATTTCTTTTATTCTGGAACCAGATCTTGGTTTTGTATTGATGGATTTTGTTCATATTTGGTACATACACGAGACATTATGGGACCTTAATGCATATCATTATAAGATCAGACTCTAAATGGCTGACTGACGGCCATTTTGTTTTGTTGAATGTAGTTCCAAAAGCTGTATCTCTGACATGCATTGAGTGATCATATTCAAACTTTATATATACATCATACATCTTGTCAAGCTTGTGCATTTGTTTGACTATCAAACTCAAGATGGCTGAAGCATTCCTCCCCTCCCCTCCCCTCCCCTCCCCTCCCAGAACTAGATATTGGTCGTGTATGGATGCATGAATACATGCAAACTTGGTAGATGCACATCATTTTGTTATTCAGTTAAGTTTTAAAA